TGTGATGTTTGTGCGATCTTCGTGGATAAGGCATCTGACGATGAGCTTCTATGCAATTCAGGTTTCACAATCTATGAAACGAGTGTAAGCAATTCAGGTGGACATGACTCTGGATTTGCACCATCGGTTTTATGCAGAGGATGGGTCTACGGGTTTTTGCATAGTTGCTTGTTGATTCTGTTATTCTATACTCGTTTACTTTTGGCCTGCAATCCGAAAATATGCGAGGGTGTCCAGAAAATAATCTGTTGCTTTGTAATGATAGATAACCAAGATTTCTGGATCAGGATTATACAAACGTTCATAAACATCGGCAGATTTAGGGAAGGGGTTTAGGAACATGCGTCTACGGGTCGAGATCGAATATAATCGAGGTGAAACACTCATTTTGATGGTGTGTGTTTCGCAGCTGCTTTTAATGCACTCATTTTCCTATGATTAATATAATCGGAATTTCTGTACAACGTTACAGAATGTATAATTATAGCTAAGTTTGGAATTGAATGTGTCGGGCAGGGTACTATTCTACTTGAGATTAGAGCATAATACGTTCGCAAGTAGAAAATAATTGAAATACACACGAGAACGCATATGGAAACAACAGCCGGTGTAATTTCTGCTGAGCATAACACTGATTAGATATCGGCAAAGGTACATTGATAACGTAACGGCGAACTGCAGCCCTATGAGATCGTCGTATCAGGCAGCATAGCCGCACCTGTCGCCCGTTCTTGCATGATGATACCAGAACGCAATGCTGCCCTGATGTTCTCAACCGTTTCTCGACTGGTTGTACTGAAGCTACGTTAGGTGAAGTCTTTTTTCACGGAAATGCACTGCTAAAGTAAAGACAGTCACTTCTCTGGACTCGAACTGAGAACCTCAAATTTCGAATCCGATTTTTCTATCATTGTACCATGGCCCACGATTTGCAACGAGCTGAGAATGCCTCGGATTGTACCGTAGGATGCTAAAAACGAAATTAAAAGAACTATAGCCTTGCAAAAAATGTATTGCCTCACTGTATCTTATCATTGCTTTTCAGTAATCTCCCAGTTTATTCTGTTGAAAGTTCTAAAGCAGCTGATACTTCAATGTGTCAAGGATAAAATCATGACTATTTGAATGAGCAGCCAGATTTTCAACATACCAAATCGAAGCTCTGCTGCCTTACAAGGCTTTCTTATGGAAAACGTGTCAAACAGTACGGATCCTGGCCGCTACACAAATCAGACTTTCTCGATTTCTCTTTAGCAGTTCATCGACAGAAGCTGCCGCTGCAGGGGAAGCTTACATGGCTACACTTAAATGTCTGTACCTGTTTAAGATTCGATCATCATCATCAGTGGAATGTATCAGAATAACACCTTGGAATTATTCGAAATTCTGTTAATTTTATTCCGATGTTTAATGTGTATACTAATTCATGTCTTACTGACTACCTGATCATCAGCGTTTAAAATATCGACGTTCCAAAATTTATCGAACATTTACCCTCTGATCTTGGTCCCATTTGACACGTTTTAAGTCGGTCGATTTTTGACCCTGATTCCTCAGAAAAACCGACATCGTCAAGAACAGGGGAAAATATAAAAGTGAGTGCAAAAGTTGTGCTGACAAAGAGGTGAGTCAAATGTCTGAGCAGAGTGCTTCCCTTGAACTAAAACGGTCAGCCCATATCATAGTTGTCTTCAAAAGTCATGGAAACGTTCTATCGGGTATGATGTTATTTGCTAAGGATCGATGTGCTCACAAGGTCATTGCAGATATTTGTCGACGTATCAGTGTTGCCCATAACTGCTCATGCAAGAGCAATCAACTTTCCCACTATGGGCGAGGCTGACTTTTGACCGATAGGCTGATTGTTGCATTTCGTGACCCCAGTTACCGGAATGCGCCTCGAAACATAGGAACGTCAGGTAGTAGGTTCAATTATAAAACATACTTTGGAGCATGTCAAAGAGATTCTAAGCGATAGCTGTCATTAGTTTCATTATCTAGATGTCTGGTGACTATAAACTAATATAAGATATAAATTTCGAAACGTTTAATTAAATTTCATAAAAGATGAAGGTTATAAGGTGGGTCGTTTCTCTGCTGTTCATGTATGTAGTTCTCGTACCATCTTCAATCGCTCTTGGTTAACGTGATAAATCATGAGTTTCCTCAACAGTTCACTATAGAGCATCGTATAATTGGCAGTGAATAATTATTACTTGAAATATTTACACACAACAAATTTCTGTTTTGATGAGACCAGCCTTTATCACCTAGGTAATGACACTCAGCGATTTTTTAACTTCAATAAGTGAAAGTCAGCAGTTCAGAGATTTTATAGAGTATAGATATTCGCTCTGTTAAAACTTGCTTGGCCTTGACCATCTGCTATCTGGCACTCGC